CAGCACTTACCTGCTACTACTTTGTCAAGAAAAGGTATGTGATTTGCAGCAGGGCTCTCCTACAGTCCAAACAATAATTCCTATTCAAATTTTCAGAAACTCTATAAAATCTGTTTACTGTTTTCTTTAGCTTATCACTGGAAAGTCATCAAACATAGCAGGATATCTGATTAAGGTTCCTTTTTTTACCTATCTTCCAGCTAGAAGTACAACACTTCAGTAAACACTTCATTGGTTACGGAGGTACAGAATCCAATAAGATTACTGGTCAGATGGATGCTTTGAGGAGATGCCACATTTAAAGTGATCTTCTAATCATTTGTTAGGCTACTGGGACACAGATTGCTATCATGAAGAGGCTAAGAAAGCTTTCAGATGAACTCACAAGTCTCTCACTGGATAAACCCCAAATAGCTAGAGGAGAGACCTCTCTCTCTACAAGCGTATAAATTCCTGTAAGAGATTTACTTCTGCTCTTCTAATGAGGACAGGATTGTGGATTAACACTTAAGTTTTGTGAAAAATCTGCAAGACTATATTTCCCCAAAATAGTGTGTGGTTGAACCACAGGACTAGCGCAGTTGCCAGTTTTTTCACTTGCCTGATAAACCATGACTCAAGATTATTAAATCCAGTAAGTCATTAGAAGAAAGTACAAAACTAATGACCTACAAGTACTTGAAATAAAAGTGTCAAATTGTTACAGATTTAACCAATGCCAGAATTTTAATGGAGTCTCTGATTTATGCAAGGCATATACATTTTCTTTTGTAATAACTCACTACTGTCACTAATAGTTCAGTTTGATTTCTAAGTGAGGTCAACTGGTAAAGTTACCACCTTTCACTATTCTTTTAGAGTAACTTACAAAAAAACAATGCTATTTACCCATAAGTGTCTAAAATCTAATTAATTAAATTTGATTAAAATTTTATTAGTACTTACAATTTACCTTAAGAAGGCACATCATGGCAGTTAGAGAACTGTTCCACAGAGGGTAAAGAATTAGAGTGGGGAAAAAAAATCTTTCACATTTTCAAGTAATTTCTCTTTTCAGAAACTGGTTAATAAAAGCACAGTCTCAGAAAACTCTTTATTTTTAGTGGCTGATAGTATAACACACAACATTAGTTTCTCAGTGGAAATCCTCTCTTCCTCAATTTGTTTATGTGTGCAAGGTAAATGATCTCTTTTTGAAGCAATTCACATTTCTTTGGGTTCAACTTCAGACTTGCAACTTTAAACTTGCCACAGAATACTTGCAAACATTACTATCAGTTCTCATTTCAAAGTTTTAGTGGGACCAGAATGTCATTAATGTATAGACTAAACAATACCCTCTTCTGTTAGTCTCACAAATATGTATTGTGCAAGACAAAAACATTATATGCAACTGCCAGTGGTCTGGTCCTGTTGTGAAAGCAGTTTTCTTCCTGTTTATCTCCATATGCCAGTATTCATTTTAAAGTTGTGTGTAGAAAGTGAAATTAAATCTTTGTAACAACTGGAGTCTCATGTATTCATGGTAATGAATAGGGTTATTTATAAAACTAAAAAGGAATGCGCATCACATTTACTGTTGTTCATCACATCCTTGAGACTACCATCTCATCTTAAACAAAAGTATGTATGAGGTCCAAGGACTGACTGAAGGCCTTGACGATTGCTCAGCGATTTCTTCTATTCATATGTGGCCAGGTATCTGCTGACTGATGAGGTCCCCTCTGGTAATAATCCTGTGTTGGGCCAACATAATTCAACAAAGCTACTCCTTTTTGCTTCATCATGCCAAGAATACCTCCCAGTACCTGGAAATAACAACTCTGTTTCTCCCCACAGAGCCACAGCAAAGACCTTAAACCCTTCACTCACTCAAAAACATGCCTTAAAAAGAAATTTTCTGAACGTTTGGCCTACAGAAAACAACTCTAGGTTTACATGACTGTAATTAACTGTACTTCAACCCATCTGGGTTATTTAGACTTGTACCCTAAGTTATAGAGGTCAAATATGCAAATCTAATTTTTTTCAAAGTTGCCTTTAGACTCAGTGGACATACTCAGTGGAGACAAGTAAGCAGTTTGGTTTGGCATAACCTGATTTATTGCCTTAGTATGTTTGATGCAGTAACTTCTTATTTTCATATTTTACTTTTTATGTACATTTCAGATATCATATTGCAAAAAAAAATTACAAAAGTCAAAATTTGTCACCTTTCTATCCAGATAGCACATAGTTACATTCATGGAGTTTCAATGGCTTCAGCAAATATAATAAACTTCTGAAAATATTTAGCAACACTTCATCATGCATATATACTGTTGGGGTTTACATTATCTTATTGAATTTTTCCATGTCACCATGCAGTTTGGGGAGGGGTGGGCAGTGGGGTAGATGGGATCCTTGAAGTCAAAGTACTGCAGGAACTGATGTGGGATCCCTGGAACAAAGATACCGTGGGAACGGGGCGGGGGCGGGAGGGAATAAAAGCAAAAGTAGTTTCGGTTTGCTCTCTCTCGCTTCTGGGACAGAACCCAGGAGGTCCCTGACTGCGTTTTCGCTGCCTGCTGGCCACCCAACCCACAGCCCCTGGAGCCCCTCTGTGCTTTCACTGCTGGCCTCCTGACCCACGGCACCTGGGGTTGCTGCCCCCACACCTTCATTGCTGGCCCATGAGCCAAGGCACCCCAGCACCGGCAATGCTTCTCCGCCAGCACAGCTGCCGCCTTCCGACCACCAGTGCGGCCACTGCTTCTGCCCACCGCCCCACCGCAGATGCCTTTTGGACCAACTGCTCAGCTGCTTTTTGACCCCTGCTACTCCGACAAGCGCCACTGCTGCCCTTCGACCTCTGCCACCTGGCTTCTTCGTGGCACTGCCTGGACCCGCCATCTGTGCTGTGCTCACCGCCAGCCCCAGGGGTGACAACCCCTGCAGCAGCTGCATCAGCTTGACAGCTCACACCGCCACCACCCCCGCACCACAAGTGCTGGCGCTTGGAGGGGAGCCCTGCGTGGGACACAGCTCCCCATGGAAGCCAAATTCACACAACCAGCAGGAACAAAATAACTACCCAGGTTTTGTTTTATTTTAGTCGTGTGGAATCAGCAGGGGAAAAAGCCCTCCGCAGAAGTCCCCATACTCCCTTTGTTTGCCTGGGGGAAAGCCATGCAGCCAGGTGGTCTCCAGTCTCTTCAGAGAAGGGGGTGAAGAGACAGACCATTTTCTCCCTGCACCCCGGTGGTTATTGTGTTTTGTTCTCCATTTTTAATAAAAACCATTATTCATTTCTACACTTTACTCAAACATCTCATAATTTTTAATTCTCATAATTTGGAGGAAGTAGTTTCTATTCCATTGGAGGTCCCACCTCCTGGCACACATTGTCTATAAAACAAGACACATGCATTCTCCCAAAATACTCTTTCTACTGAAAAAACGTCGCCAATCCCAACAATACTCTCTACTATGATGGGGAATATACATTATTTTTGAACCTCACCATAGTACAACCATGAGAACAATGGGACTGCAACTAAATTAAATGTGTTTGAAAGACTTCTGCTTTGAGTATCCCGAAGTATTAGTAAAATACAGAAAAAAAAATAACAATACTTTAAACCATCTACAAATAAGCACCTCTTTATAGAGAATTTTTGCCTTCTGGACTGGTTTCTGAGCATTAAAAATGTCAGAAGGCTTATCCTATTAAAAAATTCTTATGTAGTTAAATACCAGGCAGTTTTGTTATCACTAGAACAAATCACTGAAAAACTATGGTATACTTAGCTGTATAAGAGAAGGAATAAAGAATACCAACATTTTGTAATTAGACAATTAACCCTGTTGAAATTAATTTAGAAGATATGGATCATCACAGATATCAGCTTGATCTAAATGAAAGTTTATTCATATCAATATTGTAGTTATATTAATAAAGCCTGTGTAAATAGCACATTTTGTAATTCAAACTAACAGATTTCCCTAAAGCTTAAGAGGCTGGTCAGTCAATAGCTTAATACATTATGCCACTTATTACCTGTAATAATTTAAACGGATAGTAAAATTCAATAATGGTTAGCATTAGGGTAAGAATATGACCCTGATCAAACATTTGCCAGTCTTTGTAAAAACAGATAGGTGTTTGAGTAGGCAAATGTATGCACTGCAGCTCTCAGTAAGATGCATGACAGCAGTGAAAGCTATGTTGTACCCCTGACAAATATTAGATGAGTTTAAAATAACAGAACTAAATTACATTGTATCTAATAGTATATAGATACAATAGGATTTTTTACAAGCAGGAAGAATTCCTTTGCCAAGAAATACAGAAACCAAGATTCTCATTCACTATTCCTGCAAAATGATGTCTAACAGGTGATTATACCATTAGCTTTTCAACAATATCTGAAAGATATTAAAGGAAAGATGTGATAAAGTTTGTTGCTTCAAACACAACACCAACAGAATACAGAAAAAACTTGTAGAACCATTCTTTTATTTGTTCTACTTTCAAAATGGCATTAACGGATTAACAAGAGGAAGCAGGTAAGTGCACTTCTAAAACGCCTACAATGACAAAAATGTAATAATTTTAACAAAATATCTAAGAAGCTTTTCACTATCAAAATAGAGTTTTGAAAGTGATTTTTAGACTACTAATCCATACTTTTAAAAATCTGCGTAAATTAGTTGTGGTATCATAGCTCTGCTAAGCTCAAACTCATTTTGACTCCTCTGCATTTATGATAGCAGCTTATTTTATCAAACTGTAGTCTGCTTTGGAGCTATTAATACACAGATTGAACACAAAACATTCTCATTTTAAAAAAATTACTTTTCCTATCTTTTAACCCATTCAAGAAGTACTATTGATATTAATAAGGCTACCTAAACCCTTCCAGAATAGTTGACAGCTTTCCTTCAGCACTTAAGTACTTAAAAACAAATTTGTGTTTTTCACTGATATTCTTGTATGGATTGACAGTATAAATACTTACTTGAGCTTCTCAGCAAAATTTTCACTAAGAGGCAATCATGATGTAGCAATGTTTCCAAAAGCAAGTTCAAATTACAATACGGCTGGGATAAAAGCAGTTTCAGCTGACCCTGGGCGGCCATTTCTCTGGCTGATGGAATCCTTTCAAAATGCAAGATAAAGAATAATGTAGTTAATTTATCTATGAAATTAATAACCTTAAATTGCAGATATAATGCTAACTCCCTTAAATGTCAGTTCCTCCCAGATTACTCTGAAAATGCTTTCATGCTTGCTTACTTTAAGGCAGCTCAGGGAAGGAATTACATTTAATCTCAACTAGCTAAAAGCAAATTAACATTTGGTAGTCTGCCAAAGTTATAACTGATACAAAGCCACTTCTCCTATCTGTCTCATGGAACTATGTTTGTCTTATTCTACTAAGTAAGTAAAAAGGAGATTTTTTTTCTATGCTTGAATAAATTTAAGGCTATTACTTTTTAGTTCATTAATTGTTTAATAAGAAACTATCTTAATGAAGTATATGAAGCTCTTAACTAAAAAACAGAGAAAATGCTCAAAAGGATTGCAGAATTCCAGATTCGGTTGACCAATTCTTATATGTCCTGAAAAATCCACACAAAATATTAGACTGGTTGAGTTACTTCTTCGCCAGCAGGGAGAAGTGAATAAGTGTAGTACAAACTTAATAGCTTTTGAAGAGATTGCAGATTATTTTCTGGTTTTGGTTTCCATGTTTGAGGTTTCCAAATAAAAATATGCCAGGGCTTCCTCTGAACTCGACCAGCAACACAACACCAATCACTAAATTGGTGTTGTGTTAAAAAAAATCTGTCCTGCAAGATGTTTATTACCTACTGTATTTAGTATTGTCTTCTCCTTGAAACATTTTTAAAAAGAAGTTTTCAAAATTCGATAATATATTTTCTTCTTGCAATTTTATTTTTTAATTAAGCTGAAGGTTTTTAAAATAGATTTCAACTGATATTTAGCCACTGTATTTATTTATTTTTGCTACAAGTTTATACAACAATAGCTGCTAACATTGAAACTTTATGCACCTCATATGTAAGCTTTTATGCACATAAATTTTACATGCACCAATGTAAAAACTACATTTGGACCAGTGTATTAACTGTGCAGGCATAAATATTATCTGCCAGTATGCACACAACACCTTCAGCATCAGCAAAAACTTTCATCAGGAGGTCTTCAGTCCTGATACTTTCCTGTCAGACTAATGAAGGATTTACATGCTTCTGCTCAAACACTTTATGTGCCATTTACACATTGGGACAGAACTAAAATGCGTTCATGTGGTTGTTCTAATAGAGGGGAATCTCTCCATTACGTTGTATACTTCTACAGCCACCTGACTCAGCCAAGTGTGTCACCGCTTGAATGCACACATGAAAAAAAACAGAGATGACTGCACAAACACTCTGCTGTTCTGTCAAGGTTACTGCATATGTAATATACTCAGTACAAACCTACAACACCTGGAAATGAAAATGTCAGCTGATACTCTCCCCTAATATAGTTCCCCCTCATGTCTCTTATGTTTCCATTACCAAAAAAGCAGAAATACACATATCTTGCAGGGCAGTCCTGAAGTAACCTAAGGAAACCAAGCTTCCATAACACCATTTCCCACCAGGACCCCTACATCACACTGTTATGTCAAAACTTCACTGTAATAGTAATTTTAGTAAAGCAAGATTTTATACATGCCAGCCTTTGCAATTTTAACAGTACAGCAAATACCCCTGAGCTGATAGGTGAGGAAAACTTACGTCCAGCTTTTCTGATTTTCAGTTGGTACTTTATGTATAATTACTGACAATGTAGCACTGGCTCGATAATTATATTTACATAGTAGCACATACGTCATTCTAACAAAAAATATATACACATATACATTTTAATACTGATAGACCTTGTAGTCAAGATAACTTTTCCATATGAAAACATATGTTGCATTCAAACTGTCAACCTTAGGGCTTTGCATTCTTGATACAATTATCTGAATTTCTGTATGTTCAACATTATTTATATATCAATATAATCTAATGCACGTTAAGAACTAATTAGCAGTTAGTAATTGAAGGTAAAATTACAACAATTACCATATTCTCACTAGAGTTAGTGCTGTGGCTGACAGCAAACTCAACACTTGACTAATTCAGTTAAAATACATGGGCAAGTTTAATATTTTTTTTCTCCCTTGAATGTCATGTTATCAAATCTAATAAGATCAATCATTGCCTTCAAACTACAAAATAAGGGACAAGTTTGGTCAATTAGATTTATGAAGCATATTATTTCAAATTACAATAGAAATAAATTACATTTTTAGAGTATTTGAAATGAATAAAAATTTGTCTGTCATTGACCAGATGGGAAATTATCATGTTGTAATATACACCAGTTCTTGGCTCTTTAAGCATCTTGCAAATTGAAGTGTACAATGGTGTGATTCACTTGGAGGAAAAATAAAATATAGCAGACATTCCCTACAGCCATGAAGCTAGCACCAACAAATGCACTGAGAAGTTCTGTAACGTGCATATGGAGAGGCATATGTTCTCCCATCCTCGTAGCTCAGTACTAGTGAAAATAAGACTAGCCTCATAAAAAGTGACAAAAGGTGAAGTACATATAAATATCACACATATAAATGTTCAGTTTTGTACACTAATAGAAAAAAACCCCAACTTTGATTTGCAAATGGTATGATTATAAACCCCAAATAAGAAAAAAGGATGAATGACAATTACCACTAAAAGAATCATCATTACTGCTAAAGGAACTGTAATATAAATGATCATATAATTATTTAGTTTGATAACCAACTACATTATTCTGATTAGTATCCAACACAGAAAGAAAGAAAACCTCAAGTGGAAAGTGCAAGATTTTATAAGGCATAATTCATGGTAACAACCTTGACAAAATGTTGGAGTCAAATTGATAAAATAAACCAGACTGTAGTAATTTTCAGTTATGAAAAATAATGTAGTAAATCAGGTTATATAGTAAACAAAATAATTTCAGAAACTAGTGAAACTTTCTTTTGAATTATCAAGCTTAGGAAGAGTAAATACTTAATAGCTACATGTCTGACAGATTTTAGAGTATTTAGTTAAAGATTAGGTGGCTACAGTTTACTGAAATACTTAAACATGTCTTGTTAATGCTCAAAATACAATTATTTCAAGAAATAAAAGTTTCATTGATGTAGAGTGTAAAACCAATGAAAAAACTAGAACACCTTAGAATGTGTCCCACAAATAACTTCATTACATACAGAGTTCTGTTCCTTTTTCTGAGCAGCTGAAAAGTGTGTTGTTAAAAGAAAATATTAAATATTTTACCAACACAGTTCACTCATTATCACCAGGACAGTACACAAGGCTCTCTATATATGGACTGTCCTCACACAGGTACACCAGCTATATCTTCTCAGATATGTGCTTTCTTTTGAACTCCTCATTTTTCCATTTGGTGATCAAGTGGATGTATATTTTATCGCCGGTCCTCTACGGGAAAAAAGCGCATACTGCATAGCTCTGGAATAGTTTTCTGATATTTATTCAAGGCAAATTTATCCTAATTCTACCTCAGAAAAGACAATTATATCAGACTGAAATGGTACCAGCATTTCCTTCCCATATGTTTACACTGCATAGGGTACTAACTTTTGAAGTTATCTTCCAAAACTCATAATTCACAGTATAATTTAAATTTTGAATACTGGCCTTGGATGAGGGTATCAAAAAGTTTATTGTCTTTTCTACAATGAATACTTAATGAAGCATAAATTTTCCCAGAAATGGAGTAGATCCCTTTCTAATGGATCATGCAAGTCATTCCATTTCCTATATCCACCTTCTTTCTCCTTTCTCTCCAACCACGCATAACTTAAAAAGTCACCAACAAATTTCCTTGAAGCTTGATAGAGGTAAAGTCATGTGATGCTTCAAGCTTTTAAAGAACTTAAATTACTATTTCTAGCAGGGAAAAGGACACATTCTGAATTCACCAGTTACTCAACTCTCTTTGGCTCTTACTTAGCCAACCACATGGCTTTGATGTAGTCAAAACATATATTGCCTCTGGTTCAGCAGGTATCAGAGGCACCTGGGAAGGAGATAACAGTACTGATGACATGTAGTTAAGAGTGAAGGCTATGGAGAGAAATCAGCAAGTTTTGTGTAGTATGCAGCAAAATTACAGGGAAAATATTTTTATGTACATGGTACAAGACACTGTGTGTTCAAGGTAAGAGATAATAAATCCACAGCACATAGGTCACAAATAAGTCACCATAGGTCACCAATCATATGATAATGTATTTCTGCAAAATATAAAAATATCTTCTCAGAAAATACGGAGTAAGAAGTCACAAAAACAGCTTTTCATGAAAATGGAGAGTGAAAATCTCAGGAAATAACTTTGAAGAGGAGGAAGAGGAGGTGAAGGGGTTAGCAGAGGATCTACACTGGTGTGGGAGTGCTTCAGCTTCAAAACTAGAAATGGAATGACAGCACAGCTGGTAGCATATATCTCATATGTAACTTGTCATGATATGCAGTGACACAGAAAAAGAAATTAAGCTTTTGCCTTTAATCATTCAGTAATCGCAAAAAAAAATTAACTATGATCAAGCAGCATTATTTTTCAAGGAGTCATGTATACATCAAATCACTTTTTTAACCACTAGTCGTACATAGAAAGACATACATTCTTTATCTCCCCTTTAATTATAAGTCCTACAAAACAGCAACTGTGGTGAACTACATTATTGTCAAAAGCCATATACCCTTTGATTAAAGCCAGAAAACCTTGGAGACAATTCAAATATCGAACATAATGACTAGACTAGCAAAACACAGTGCACTGCTTTCAGTGTGACCTTTCTTACAGGCTCTAAAAGATTAGAGAAATCTGTAATGAATTAAAAAATGCTTCTATGCCTTTTTAAAATCAGAATATTAGTTAAGCATTTATTCAGATACACTCTTTTCAAAATGTTGTCACAGTATTTGACTAATACTGACAATCCAGTGAAGCCTTTACAACCATCAACTTATGATACTCACTTCAGTAAGAAAAAACAGGATGATGGTATGCAAAATAACCAATGTGATGGATGATAAAAGACTTCTGGAAACTCTTGAGGAAGATCTTCACCACAACTATTCAGTAATGTCCTGAAAGAAACCAGATATTTCTGAATTACACAAGAGACTGAAAATCCCTTTGGACCACTAGTACTAAATGATAAATAGTACTAATATACATAATATAAAATCGTACTAATATACATACGCATACACATAATTGCAAATCTATTTATGTACTGTTAAAAGTATCATTCTATATTTTATATACTTCCATTCTTTGAAACTTGGCATTGTTAAAGAAGTTTTCTTCATATTTTTATTCCTATATAGCATGTTTTCAAATTACATTTGAAAATGCATTCAATAAGCAAATTGTTCGTCATTCATTTCTACTGCTCTTTTCTTTCTGCAAAACAAATGCATTGTATTATAAATACTTTTATAACAATGATAAAAAGAATATCTTTTGAAGTGATAATAATTGACATGCAAATACCTATAGACTTTAGATTAAACTGGACAAAAATTTGTATGAGAAGCTTTAGACTGCACTAGCTTATGAGAAACGGAATACTGGTTGCTTTCAAGTACATGAATCTGGTGAGGAACTAGATAAGCTAGTTTGATGTCACTTCTTCAGTACTCCACTTACTCAAAGGATGTGAGTGGCAAAAATCAAGACATGTCCAATCCACTGATACTAAAAATTAACCATTTTTATTCATTATATGATAGGATTATAAATATATGTAAGAACAGGATTCCACAATTTAGTATTTGCTTTTAATTACTGTTTAGCAATAAATTAATAGTCTTGGTACAATTCTGTAGCAACCACTAGGATGCAATAATGTGTCACAGGAAGAGATGCACCTTGGCTTATTCCCTTTTTACTCTCGTTTACACTGAATACAATTCCAGCAGAGAGGATATAGTTTGTCCATCCTCCATTAACTATAAACAATTGTCACTTCCCAAGCACCTTACTTTTTATCTTACTTGCCTATGAATTTTTCATCTTAATAACTTTCCTTCTCTGAAGTTTTTTTCTTTATGTATCATGGTTGTGATTTTCTAAGTTATATAAAGGAGGTATAAAAATGCCACTGTATATTTCCTTTATTTTCCGAAATGAATCAATGTAATTCCCCCTTTCAAGTAAGCATTATTTCTATTGTACCGAGAGAAGAACCTCAGGAAAAGATGTGAGGACTTTCTCAGGACAAGAGAACGTTTTTATATGACCAAAGAAAGCTACCACCATGAAATGGAAGCAGTGAGAGTGAATCTAAACACTTAAAACAGGTGATAGGCTGGAAATCCTTTGGAATACAGCCTTCAAGAACTCCTAACCTAAAAGCTAGAATCTCCCTTTATTATAGGGTGCTTTGTCACCATGGCATTAATAGCACTTGTGTTTTGTCATTTACTTACTTTAAGTTACTTTTTAGCTTTTTTCCAAACCTCCATATAAGTAATTTAGAACTGCAGCTACATGTCTATTAGGTTACTGTCTGCCTAAAAGACCCTAGATCAAAGAAGAGAGAGAATTACACTTGTTCAACAAGAAAGGCATGTCTAAAAGTTTCTGAACTTCTCCAAAAAATAGGGTGATGTATTTGGAAATAATTTTACTAATTACAAAAAATTAGCAGAAAGAATTTACTACAGACACCTAAATGATCTTAAATAAGCAATATTTGAGCACAAGGACTAGCACAGTGCTCTTTGTGAATTTGTGAAAATGTGAGGATTAAAAATAAAGCTGAGATTCTAATATAGATAAAGGTAGAACTTAAAGTGGAAAAATAATTTTTTAAAAGACAGTAATCTCAATTTTATGAGAAAGTTAAAAAAAAAAGAAATCCTATTGATTCTCATCCACTGAAATATTTTTCTGAATATAGCAAAGCATAGAGCAAAAATCCTAAAAGAAAGCATGATAAATACATTTTGAGTAGCAATCTGATAAAGAAAGACCATATCTTGTTAACTGATTGTGTAGGAACTATTTGGGAGAATTCTGGAATTAGCTGTATCCTAAGAAGGAGCACACAACAGACTTTTGGATTCTGAGGCTTATAACAAAATCTCTACAGAAATTTTTTAAGTGAGATGGAGATAATCTGAGGCTTTAAAGATTGTTTAAATATTAGAATAATTTCAAATACGACTAAAAAAAAATCAAGTGTCTAATGATAATACAGCAATTCTCATGCCAACATGTCTTAATGTCCACTGTTGGCTATGTAACTCTGAGCCAGACTGTTTAATTCAATTACTTTTCTGACAGAAGTAATAATAATAGCTAGTAGGAAATTTATTTTTGCTTCAAGTTCTCCTAATGCAGCTGCCTATAGTCTCAAAGCAGCAGATAGCATCTGTGAAAGCATTTAATACCACGCAAGACTTCAAGTTACAGTAGTTTTACTCTTCAGTAGAGTGTAACAAGGTGAGAATTGATCCTGTAAGCCTAAGTACAGGTGTGAAGAATTGAGATGCCCACAAGATGCATCTTGACAGTATTTCTTGGTAGTCTTTGAAGGATTTAACTCTGTGTAAGGAATACACAGGACTAAAAAGCAATTTCATGAGTTATAACATATATTAAAGAGAAATATTTTCAGTTTTTCAAATTGAATGGCAGATATTTTTACCCAGTAGAGATCAATTTTGCCAATAGACTCTCTAAATTCTTCTCTAAGCATTCAAACAATTTACCTGACTTCTTGTTCAGAAAGTAAGATATAATAATTCATAGTATCACAAAAACTGCATCCACTTTACTCTTCATGTTCTTCCTTAACAGAAAGATTGTGTTCTCCTACTCAGTACAAGAGACTAAAGAATACAGGAAACATCACAAGAACAGATCTGCTCCAAAATGAGCAACCCTTAACCCAATGCAGAAGACAGTCTCTACTTTGAGACCTGATTAATTTAATTCTGTACAAAATAATGAATGAAGAACAGCATTGGATTCTCTTATGTAACTCACAGGCAGCACTGAAACTGTTTGATCCACTGCATAAAGCCTCAGCTACTAGAACTGACTAACTGAAATAAAGGTTGTCAGTAATAAGACTGTGGTGACTGGAAATTCTGTGGTATGAAAATTCTCCTCTTTCAGACGCTTGAGTAAGCAGCAAGAAAACAGCAATACTTTGTAGATTTGGGGAACATATTCTGGAGACTTCTTTTGTTCAATAGGTCCTCAGCAATCTGGACAAAAGCGGACAGAGAACACATGTTTAAAACAGGTGACACTAAATTGAGGGAAGCGGACACAGTAGTTAACAGAGTGACAAGCCATGGATGACTGGACCAACAGACACACAAAAAATTGACTGAGGTAAAGTTGCTGTTTACTCCAGCAACAGAATAACTTAGGCTAGGAACTGATTTATCTGAGTACAAACCCAAGCCTGGGATTTATGGCCAGCAGGGTGTCAAAAACAAAGTGACAGTGTATTGTCACTAAAAAAAAAATGCAAACCACTCACTGGACTGAACTAGGAAGAGGATGACAAGCAAAATCAAGATATTGATTTGCTTCATCTACTTGGCAACAATTAAGCCTCACCTAGAATATTTTGTGCAGCTGTTGGGCCTACAGCTCAAGGAGGATGTGAGGAAACTGGAAAAGTCTAAACTGAATCATCATTAAGAAATGTTTAAGGGATCTGGGCTCCTTTACTCTGGTGAAGAAGTGGCTAAAGGATCACTTAACCTAATGGCAATGTACAAATAGCCAAAGAATAATTACAAAGACAACACTGACAAACTTTTCTCAGTGGGGGCTGATGTAATACAGCAACTCATAGCCAGCAGCTTTGGAGATTTACACTAGACATTAGGCAATACTTTGCAGTAATGCAGTGCCGCTGTGGAACACACTTCATGGAGAGGCTGTAAAACTTCACTTCCTGGAGGCTGACATGGGGCAGCTAACACAGTCATGTCTGACTGCTCTTAGTGAATGTTCTGCTTTAAGCAGGAGGCTGGACTAGGTGATCTCCAGCAGTCCTTTCCAACCAACATTTCCATTTTACTAAAGGTACTTCAGGAAGGCCATAGAAGGCTGGAGGAAGATAAAGCACAGAAAAATGAGCATTAAAACCCCAGATACACAGGTGAATTTTGGACCAGGTCTAAGTAACCTTGTCATACAGAAAAGAAACTCTAAGTGATAGCTGAACACATACTTGATCGCAAAATTAAGAATGAGAAAGCATATGTCAGAATCACCTTATTTGAGGTTAAGAATATTATTAATTTTTCAGCACAATTATTTTGTTACATCTCAACAACATAATAAAGAAATCTGAGTAATTTTAGGTCCCTGGAAGCAATATTTACTACAGCAAATCTACTAAATTATAAATAAGTCAGTCCTATTATTAGACAACTCCTGAAAAACAATGTTCTGTTATTGCCACCTTTATGATTACACAAAACTTTCCTGAGAAGTCTAAAGATTAATTGACATCTAGTGTCTGCAGGGTACTTTTAATACCAAAAGAGAACATTATATAGTTAAAAGAAAAAGCTTTATTTGAATTCCTGTTAATTTTACCATAGTTTTGAAATATATAAAGCCAAGCTAGCATAATAACAATAAACTGTGATCATACAACTATAATTGAATAGAGAACTGATGAAAGATAAGTATTCCTTTAAAATCAGGCATAACTTCTAAATTTGTTATTGACAGATTCTTAATGTGATGAACTATGTACACCTCAGTAAACAATGGATCTAGATATTCAACAGAAAATTCAGTGTTTGCAAATTTGATTCAGTGCTTCCAATTGGATATAGTAATTCAAGAAGCTGATTTGTTAAATCTCTTTTTCCTTTGTGTTCTGGACACTGGGTTAGGTTACCTGACAAATACCAGCTGTAATGAAATACACAATATAAAAAGACTTGTTTTGATAATGTAGACTCACAGATCTTGAAAACACAAGTTGTGAATACAAGTTCACAAAAAAATCTTTTTTTACTTACACAAAAACATGCATCATCTATATAGCAATGTTCTTCAGTGTTAATATTATTTTTGTAACTATATAAGAAAATATGCCATTTTATTCTATTCTTTCTAAAAAAAGCTGCCAGATTTTGCTTGTGATTTGCAAAGTATTTTGTAGTAAATTAAATGAGTTGCTACAGCAAGTTAGGATACCGAAATTCATATGCTTAAATATGAATGCTATATGACCAAGTCATTTATCTGTAGCATTTTACATAAAATGCAAGACAGGCTGCCTCTTCATTGGCACTTCATTCTGAAACTCAGTGACTGCTCAAGTTAGCAAAATATTTTTATCATTACAGGTATGGATAAATTTGTAAACAACTTTGCTTAGTGGAGGAGACTGGAATTGCTAAAAGAAACAAATTATACTACATATTTAGTTTGTACCATCATTCTGTCTTTCATAAAAGAAAGATGAAATGTAAAAATTCACAGTAGAAGCAGTTACAGCTACCCCATTGTACATTTCTCCTCCATTACCACTGCCACAGTTACACCTAATCAGTCACCTTTTTAATTGTTATTTTTTCATATGCCTGCATAGTATAAGATCAAACATCCAGTTACTACCTACTTTTGCATGTTCCTCAGAGCTCACAAATACTAAAAAGAGCCCATATATGAGAAAAAATTTTTAGCTGAAGAAGCTTAAATTCAGGTCTCCACCCAAGTACTAACTAAAATATTCCTACCTAGAATAATAAGACAGTAGAATTGGATGTGGCTTTGTTACTTTGCAGTTTTGTTGTCCTTGTTTTTTTTAACTTGTGATCTCACTTTGTATTGTCTCATACACCAAATTTACAGCACAATTTTAGCAATGAAAGACTCAGACTCAATTTCAGTGCAAGTAATGTGTCCTTTTCTTTATAGCTGTGACTTGTGAAGACATGATTTCATAAATATGGCAATTCTATACTCTTTCTCTTTTAAACTATATTAATATTTATTGAAGCATACTGATAATGTAACCAGATGATCATCACAGTAAATTATCTTTACATTTCAGTACTTATAAAAAATATTATGGGGTGAAAGCAGAACATTCTAATTTACTTGGAAGCTGAAGGAAGATGTATTTTAACTAGTAAGATGATTTTTTTCCAACTGATGAATGACTAAGTCCTTGAAAACCTTACCAAAGTCTTTGATACCATATTAGTAAATGTTTTCAGATGGACAAGACTGAATTTAAAAAAAAAAAAAAAAAAAAGCTAACTGAAAAGCAAATTGCAAATCTGGGACAGTAATTATTAAAAAGTTCTACTGTTTCTGTTACAGAGGAAATCAATCCAGACATTCACTGTGGTATATGTTATCAACAGAAAAAAAAAGTGTACAGCATAGGAGTTTGATCCAAGGCTAATAAAATACCAGCAGATATTATTAGGCTTTAGGTAAGATCATACAGGTAAGTTCAAGATAAGATTGAGAAATAGTCAAAGATTACAAATAGGCGTCACTACTATGCATTTCATTTGATTTCAACAAAAATGTTCACCCTCTAGACCCATCCATGTAAGCTCAAGAACGTTTTCTCAAATGGAATGTTTATTTCATACTCACTCATATACATTCTTCAGTGGTGAAGTTAAAATAGCCAGCACAGAGATCAGACTATTGCAGTGGCTATGTATTTTATAGATCTTGAGATCTCTGTCTTCATGTGGATTCAGAAACTCCTGTACAGAACTACAAACTGACCAGAGCATATCTTCAGTGGACATCAAAATTGCTGCAATATCAATTCTTTAGGAAAAAAAAAAAAAAAAGGAAGAATAAGATTACTTAGGACATCTGGATAGTAGTAAATTTCAATTAAATAGACTTTTCCTCTGATATAAATCACAGCACGGATTTGAAATTTCCTCTTCGGTGATGTAGGAAGCCTGAATCTGCTACTCTATAATAATTCAACACTTCCATAGAAAAGTCCTTACTGAAACTACTTAAAAGAAGAAGTTAAAAAGCTTGGAAATGTCGTTTTCCAAAGGACAGTATCACTAAGCGAGAACAATTTCCTTTCTAAACTACTAGTCAGTAAATTTATTTTTTTCCTTTATGATAATATATAATTAGAATGTTCTTACTATTTTCAAATCCTGCTAAAAAACTTAAAAATTAATGACAAAGTAATTTCAACATGCAAAACTACCATTCAACATATTGCAATGTAGAACATTTCTGAGTCAGTGATCTATTGCCTCTTGGTATTGGCTGGCAGAGCATCATGGGTCATTGGTCTGAACAACAGCAAGAATGCAAACTACAAGAAGATAATCTCACAAGACTATTATGACATAAAACACATAGGAAATAGGTGGATAACACAAAATATATGGGAGGCATGAGGATGAACAGAATAAAGTACCTAAAGTACCTAAAAGATAATAGATGCACGTGTGATCATCTGCATTTTTAAGGATCCCTTATTTTTAAAAAATCTAGGCAAACACAAACAAACACACATTTGCCTGTATTACTTATCAGTTCTCTAACATTTCAAGAACAATTGGGAGAAAAGATACCCCCACAAACTACAGCATCATAAATAAAATATGCAAAACTCTGATTTGATAAAGATACTATAACTAAATCAGTGATAAAGATACTATATCACTAACTTTGTGATAGAGATACTAAAAATTATATTGAGTAAATTTTTTTCCTTTGTTCATGGCAAGATAGTTCAATTTAGTTAGTGAAAAACTCAAGAATCACCTTATTGAATGAAACAGCTTTTCTACAAACTTAAAATGTAAAAACTTCTTTCTGATTTTGAATTTTGAAGGAAATTCATACAGAATTGACTAATACTACATTTAAGAAATACTGCATTTTTCATATTTCAGGGTATTTTTTTCCCCAGAAAATTTCCACAAAAGTTTACAGGAAACATCTCTACCAAAAGATAAAGAAGAGCCTGATCACAGTAAACTAATGCAGGAATAGGGCATAAACCCAGGTATTTTTATATGTAGAATAAAACTTTGCTTTTTCCTACCCATTCCAAGAACATGATCTCATGCAAGTTACTTAAGCTTTCACAGAATCACAAAATATCCTGAGTTGGAAGGGACCCATAACGATCATCAACTCCTAGCCTCGCACCATACCCAAGAGTCACACCATGTGCCTGGGAGTATCAGCCAAATGCTTCTTGAACTCTGGCAAGCTTGGTCCTGTGACCACTGCCCTAGGGAGCTTATTCCAGCATCCAATTAACCTCTGAATGAAGAACCTCTGCCTAATATCTACACCTCCCCTGACACAACTTCAGGCCATTCTCTCCGGTCTTGTCACTGGTCCCCACAGAGAAGAGACCTCTCCTCTTTTTCACCTCACGCTGCAATGGGGCCTACCTCAGTTTCCTCTTCTCCAGGCTGAACACACCAAGTGACTCAGCCACTCCTCAGACGGCTTCCCCTCAGGGCCCTTCACCATCTTCGTTGTTCTCCTTTGGACACTCTCTAAAGGCTTAACAT